CTGCCAAGTTGTCCAGAGAATACATGAATAGAAGGACAGAGAGGGAAAGCCCATCCAGATCACAGGCTGGGGGCCGGGCGCTCCTGGCCCGGGGAGAGCGGCGGGGGCAGGGGCCGCGGCTCTGGGGAGGTGGCGCACAGGCATTGTCCTGGCCGTGGAGGAAGACGGTGGCTTCTTGCCCCTCTGAGGGCCCAGCTCAAGTGCCTTCTCTGCAAAGACCACCTGACCTCCCCCCGCATGGAGCAGGGAGCAGACGGGGAGGCCTCCAGGCAGGTCCTGAAGGCCGCAGAGCAGGCCCCTCCCTGCCAAAGTGCAGCCCCCTGGTAGGGGCAGCCAAAGGGGGCCAGGGTCAAGCGTCTCTGCCTGGAGACTTCCCTGGACAGGGACCTCATTCCTTCTGGGAAGATATTTGCATAGCTGGCCCTGTGCCAGATGCTGCCGCCCTTCGGCTGCCCTTGGCTGGCACCTTCCTGGAAGTCTCCCTGAGCCATGCCTGCTGCACATTGTTATCTCAGTGGATGTGGGGATTCGATGCCCATGGGGATCAGATTTCTGCCTGGGGGATGGGGTGCTACCCTGGCAGGAGAAGGGAAGTCTCACAGACGGGGACGCCTGGGTTGTGATTAGGAGGGGTAGGTGAGGAGGAGGAAGGGATGTCCAAGGAGACAGAAGCTCTTTGTCTCTGTGGATTCTTTGTATATTGGGCAACATTTGGCAACAAGCTCTGTTAATAAAGCCACCGTTTTCCTGCCTGTCATCCTTCAGCTGAGCTATATCCGGTTGGCACCCGCCCACAGGAACACCCAAAGGCTCTCCAGGACCTTTGGCTCTGGGTGAGGGAGCCCATTCAGCGCGAACGTGAGGGCCCTGCTCTGGAAATCATGGCCACCACACGCTGAGGAGCAGGGCGCTCTCTGCCCCTCTTTTCCTCGTTCTTGTTCGCTCTCTGCTCTGTCTTCAGGGTGGCCAGCAAAGGAATGATCAGGAACAATAGGGGATCTCCCGTTGGGGTTGGGGGTCAGTGGCAGGTCTAGAAATCTGTGCATCCACCACGGACCCCACTGTGTGACTGTGGACAAGCTGCTTTGTCTTGGTCCCCTTCCCTGGAAGGCAGGTCTAATGAGGCACTCAGTGGTGAGTCCGTGAGAACCAACGCTGGGCCGATGTGGGAGAGGCCTGGAGAGAGCCTGGTCCACGGAGGGGCTCAGTGCTTGTCGAGACCAAGAGCGAAGGCCACCCCTGGGCCTCAGCCTGCCCTGAGCGCTCGGCGAGTCCAGGGCCCTGTGGAAAGGGGGCCCAGGGTAGGGCTCATGGGAGACTCAGGCCTCTTTGTCTCTGCGTCTGACTCACTGTGTGACCACAGGAAGCCCTCAGTTTACCCGTTTTTAGAGCAGAAACAGCGACTTTCTCAATGCACAGAGCTGTTAGAGTCACAGGAGACAAGAGCCCTGACAGCTCTCTCTGGAGTTAAAAGTGCCATCCCAGTGTTAGGGATTATTACCTTGTCTCTCTCCTGGGACGTCCCCACCCATCACCCCACACTAATACAGACACTGCTTCCAAACCATGACAAACGCAGGCAGTGGTGTGCCGTCAGCGGGCTCTCCGGAGGCAAAAACACCCCGATTCATAGCGTCTGCTAATTTCCGTGGTGTAAATACTCCCGCCATGACTGATTTCGGGTTATCAATGGCTTAACGATCCACCACTTAAATGGTGAACAGGTGGCTCTCTAGCCAGCCAGTCGCCTCACACCACTGGCAGGGGCAGGAAGCAAGGCCCGGGGTCCCCCATCGGCCATGCCAGAGCCCTGCCTGAGTGGCTGTCTTGGGAGCTCCTTTCCTCCATCATTCCATCTGGAGCCGGTTCTACCCAGATGCCGCACTTCCTTCCCAATTGTCCTTCTGGGGTTGGAAGCGAGAGGCCCCCATAGAGGGCAGGGGGTGGGGTTTACTGCCCGTCACTTGGGAGGGCTCAGCTTGGGACAGTCCTTGAGGTGATACAGGTGATGCAGGAATTTCAGGGGTAGAGAGGGACCAGGGGAAGAGAGTTAGCGCCCCTCACCTGCCTGTTAACCAGCTCCTGCCAATGACACGGTTGTTGGTACCAGAGCTGCCTTCTCTGTACTCCCTACAGTCACGCCATGCCGCTGTCTCAGCATTTGGAAACCTGTATCCTACCTCCCTGCAGGTGGCTCAAGATCTGGTCCGGGCCCTGTGCGCACCCAGGCTCTGCGCGGCCCGGCGCAGCCTGCCTGGCCTCACCGACTTCTCAGACCTGACACGCTGTGTGCAGGACTCTCTGCCCGCCTCCTGTCCCTGCTCTGCCTCGCTTACTCATTCATTCAACCAATATTGATTATCAAGTGCCCACCACATGCACAGGGCTAGCTGGCCAGAGGACTTGAGGATGACTCTGAGGCTCTTCATTGGAGGGTTTGGTGGAAAGGGGCGGGAGTATGAGAGAAGGGGCAGGGACAGAGGAAGTGGATGAGTTCCTCCGCTTTAGATGCAGTGGATTCAGGCGCCGCAGGATCCGCGGGAGGGGCTGTCCAGAGGCAGGCAGGCAGACACCTGGTGTGGCGCTCAGGTCAGGGGAGGTGGCGTCGGTCCTTCCAAGGGTTCCAGGCTGGAAGGCTCAGAGTGACCTATCGTTGTCCCTCACGCCCAGGCCGGTAGTCACTGGTCACTGAGTCCATGCTCCCAGGCCTTTGCTTGGTGGCTTCCTTTACCTGAATGTTCTCCCTGTACCACCCTTACCCCTTCCTTCAGGTACCCAGGTCAGAGGCTCTCCTTCAAACTCCTCTGGAGCCTTCCTGATGAGAACTGGTTGCTCTTTCCTCCTCTGGGTCCCACCTGCCTTGCTTTTCCCAGGTGGCCTGTGTGATAAAAGTGCTTGACTGTGCCCCTGCCCCTCGTCCCCATTGTTCCATGAGCTCCTGATGGCAAGGATGGTCCCCTCTTCTCTGTGTCCCTCATGGCATGTACCAGTTCTGGCATGAATGAATGAATGAATGAATGAATGAGTATCAATAACAGATTGATTGAACTTCATTTTCTGGGCAGACCTACATCAGCTTCCTCTGCAGATGGCCTTGGAGGGTTGTCCTGCGTGTGTCCAGCTGAGCACAGCCCCGGCCTGGAGTCTGGTTGTTCCGTGCAGACACAACGGGAAACAGTCTGCCCTGCTGCCAGGCCATCCTGCCTCCAGGGCACACCTGGAGTTCAGCCCCAGGTCTCTGCGTTCCTGCCAGTGCTGTGCCAGATATAAGAAAGTCTAGAAATCTCTGACTTCCCAACCCATCCTTTTCCTACTTTGCCCCTGGAGATAGAGACATGGGTTGTGATATTTCTTAATTCTTTTACAATCATGGAATGACAATGCTGAGCTGCTAATTTAGGACCAAAGGTGCTTCAGCGCCCTTGAGCGTTAGTCAATTTTGTATTTCCTCACTGTTTTTGAAAGAGCTTATTGCAGTGATGGATGAAAGCCTCTTTTAATGTTGCGATACCACATTTCTAAACAGTGAGGGACCCTGGCCCGGTGACCTGGACCCCAGCTGGTGATTCCAGCACCAAGCCCCGGGCCCTGCCCTGTGCCCAGCGAGTGAGCAGGATCCCTGGCCAGACCCCGTCCCATGCTGGGGCATGCTCCCTGCCCAGGGCGGGGGCCCGGGAGCTTCCGGGAGAGCCCCAAAGACTTGGGTGGGGTCTGCGTCTCCACGGCCGAGGGCCTGCTGAGTGCCCCCCCGCCCCCAGCAGTGCTGCTTCCTGAGGTGCTGTTGCCCAGCTGCCCCAGGAACTGCAGAGGCAGGACCAGATCTCAGGATCGCATACTGGCCAGGCTGACCGGTCAAGCGGGCGTGTTCGGGCGGCCCACGATTTCCCTCACTGTTAGGACCTTACATCCTGACTTCACATTTCTTGGAGCTAAGTCCGTGTCAGTACATACAGGGTGGCCTGTCCTCGCTGAGGCCCCCGGCGTGTCCCACTGCATGCACGGCACCACACGCCATGTGGCACCTCCTGGAGATGGGCGTTTCCTTTGCTTCCAGTTGGTTAATGAAACGCTGCTTTGCCCTAGAGACCCTGGTATGTGAGCTGTTGTGCATCATGGGAGTGCGTTTACAAGACATATTCTTGGAAGCAGAATTCTAACTTAGAATTTAAAAACAGCTTCCCAAAATAGGGGAAGGGCTGGTCTGCTTGTGTATTGAGGACTAAATAGGACATTTATCAAAATGAAGCTCCCATTTCCCACCTCATTCTGCCAGAAAACAAAACAAAGGAGTGGAACATCCTTTTTGACAGAAAGGGAGAGGGAGACAGCCATCGGGCCTGGGGGCCGTTCCCTCTGAGACTGTGTCTCTGTTTTCTGGGAGCTGCACTGTGGTCTCAGTGGGGCCGGGAAGGACCCCAAGGCCTCCCGGGGCAGCCTCGGGGCAGCCGCTGGCAGCTGCCTACCACAGGGCAGGCGAGGGGGGTGGTCTTCTCTGGAGCTCGGGGCTGCCCTGGGAGCCGAGGGGGAGGCGGCCCCACCTGCCCTGGCCAGCTCCCCGCCACTGGACTCACCACCTGCTAAAGGGCAGGTCAGAGCCACAGTCAAGATGATTCACAAACCTTCGCCTGGGACCCCTGCTCCGTGTCCCACCCCCCAGAAGGCTCTGAGACCAGGGGGAGGACAATGCCCAGGGGCTGCGACTCTCCAGGGGCTTCCAGGCTGATGGGAGGGAAAGATCGTCTTAATGGGAGGCAGCTGCGGGCTGGGTTTCCTCTCTCTCCAGGTGCCAAGCCCCACCCAGTCACCATTCCTTCCCCTTTCCCTCTCTGTCGCCACTGCCCTCCACTCCGATGCCCATCCAGGGTTCTTTGGCCTCCAGGAACTAGTTGGTGGGGGGTGGGGGTGGCCACAGGGGCGCCTATTGGGCCACAGGGCGGGGCAAACCCGGTGAGGTCAGCAAGCTCTGGATAAAGGGGAGAGGAGCAGGCGCAGGTGGCAGAGCCTTCGTTGGCTGGAGTCGCCTGGGGACCTCAGACATGAAGCTCCTCTTCCCTGCCCTGCTGTTCCTCCTGGCCCTTGGTGAGTGCAGGTACCTGGGGGTGCACCCCACAGAGAGGGCGTCCTGGTGCCTGCGCCCCCGGGGCAGGGCGTCACCACGCCCCCGGCGCCGGAGGGTGATGCAGCCCCTGCACTCTGCCGGTTGGCACAGAGCGCCTGCAGTCAGTCGCCTGCCACTGCCGGTCCCGCCCACCCGCCTTGGGAGGAGTTGGGGGGCTGCGCTTCTAAGCTGGTCCCGCGAGCCTAGAGCTGCTCCGTGCTTCCCAAGTGGCCTTCGCAGACTCTGTCCCATGTTGTCCTGCCGGGACCTTTGGCACCCGTGGTACCGTTACAAGCAGTTTGTTACAAGCAGTTTACGTGGGAGGCAGTGAGACTCCCCGAGCGGGAGGGAGACTTGCCAAGACACAAGGCGACCTGGAGCTCAAGATCCCAGCTGCTGCCAGGGCTGTGCCGACGACGTGGGCAAGACAGAGCCTTTCTGAGCCTCAGTTTCCTCATTTAAAAGAATCGTCCAAACACACCTCCCACCGGGGAGGGGAGGGTGGTGGCGCAGACCTCCTGATGAGCCTTTTTCCCGGAGGAGGGGAGAGGAATCGATTTCTGGTTTCAAATGTGCCCAGAGTAGAAGGGACTCAACAATGGTTAGTTTTGTACCCAAATATCTGAAGTAATTTCTGGGGTGCCCCGTGGGCACTCACCAGTGGTGGACACTGGTGATGTAAGTGCAGGAGCGCAGGGCGTCCTCGGAGAAGGGCAGGGTCCCGGGGGGCAGCAGGAAGGGCTGTCACAGGCAGCACTGAGGCAGTGAGGCTGGGGGTCCCCTCGGCGCAGTGGCACCCCAGCCCAGGGCAGCCCCTCCTGTCTGCAGGAAGGGGGAGGTTAGAGAGCAGCACTGAGCTAACGCCCCCAAACCTAGGGAGCAGGGGGCCGTCCCTGTCTGTCCCTGCCTTCTGGTGTCCTTCCCCATGTTCCTCTCCGTGGGTGCTGGTCATCCCTCTCTCCTCTAAGGCAGGAGCGGGCCTGGCCAGGACCGACTCCCCTCTGCTCCCTGACGTGTGGCCTGCTGGGTGCACAGCACAGGGTGGGAGCCACCTGGGAGGGGCCGAGGACAAGGAGGTGGCCATGGGCCAAGGGCCAGGGCTCTGGCTCAGCGCTGCCTCCACTTTCACTGGCATCTGCGGTCGCCTGTACCTCCAGCACCTTGGGGCGGACTGAGCAGGGCGTGGCCCCTGAGCAGAGAGGCAGAGGGCTGAGTGTGCTACCCCAAAGCTCATCCGGAGGGAAAGAGGGCTTAGGCAACCAAGGGTTTTCAGTTTTTGTAACAACTTTACTGGTGTGAATTTTACATCTCATGAAATCTACACGTTGCAATGATTGCTAGCAGTTTTTCCAGGGAGTGCAACCATCCCTGTAAGTAGGATTTAGCACGTTTCCATCCGCACTGTGGTTCCTCCTGACCATCCGCACTTAGTGCTCATTCTCACCCCAGCCTCCGGCAACTGCTCATCTGCTTTCTGTTTCTGTAGCTTTGCCTCATATGGACATTTCATATGAGGGGAACCATACAATACTGGTCTGTGTCTAGAGCATAAACGAAGCTCATCGATAATGTTGCGCACATCAGACGTTCCTTCCTTTTTATCGCCAAAGGCTGTTCCATGGTATGGGTGTGCCGTTCACCAGTCCTCGGACATCCAGGTTGTTTCCACTTTTTGGCCATTCTCAATAGCGCTGCGAGGAATATTTGCGCAGGAGTATTTATGTGGACGTATGTTTTTATCTCTTAGGGACATATATCTACAAGTGGAATTGCTGGGCCATACGCTAACCCTGTGTGTAACATTTTTCCAAGGTGCAGGCCACTTTACATTCTCAGCAGTGGATGAGGGTTCCCAGTTCTGCACATTTTTGCCAGCATTTCCTATCCTCTATTCCAGTTGTAAGCATACCAGCAGATGTGACATGATTATCTCATCATGCTTTTAATTTGCGTTTTCCTAATGACTAAAAATGTTGAGCATCTTTTCATGTGCTTACTAGCCATTCATGTATCTTCTTTGGAGAAATGTCCATTCATATCGTTTGCCCATTTTTGTTTGGGTTGTCTGTCTTCCTGATACTGAGTTGTCAAGAGTTCTTTGTAATTATTTCCTCCCAGCCTGCTGCATGGGCTTTTATTTTCTTTACTGTCTTTTGAAGCGCAAAAGTTTTGAATTTTGATACGTCTGATTTATTAATTTTTTAATTTGTGGACTGTCCTTTTGGGATCATGCTAATTAATCTTTGCCTAACCCAAGGTTGCAAAGTTTTTCTTTTGTGTTTTCTTCTAAAAGTATAATTGTTTTATCTCTTACAGTGAATTCTGCGACCCACTTTGAGTTAATTTTTATGGATGGCGTGAGGCGGGGCCCTGAGCTCATCTTTTGTATGTGGGTGTCTAATTGTGCAAGCACCCTTGGTTAACAGACTACCCTTTCTGCCACTTCCCTTGCACCTTCATAAAAAATGAGTTGTCTGTAAATATAAGAATCTGTGTCTGGACTCTTAAATCTGTTTCATTGAACTGTATTTGTCTATCTTTTTGCTGCAACCAAACTGTTTTGATAACTGTAGCTTTATAGTATGTTTTGAAAGTAGGAGGTAAAACTCCTACAACTTTGCTCTTTTTCAAAATTGTTTTTGGCTTTCCTATACACATTATACAAATATTAATTATAAATTATATATTTTTTGGGCTATTTGCTGTAAGTTTACTTATTCTATATAAATTTTAGAACCTGCTTATCGATTTCTGCCAAAAAAAAAAAAAATAAGCCTGCTGGAATTTTGATAGGGATTGTGCTGATTGTCTATAACAGTTTAGGAGGAATTACCATCTTAACAATATTGAGTCTTATAAAGCATGAACATAAATGTCTCCCCATTTATTTAGATAATTATTTCCTTTAGCCAAGTTTTACAATTTTCCTTGTACAAGCCTTGCATTTTTCTATTAAATATTTTCCCAAGGATTATTCTTTTTGATGTTATTATGAATAGAATTGTATTTTTAATTTTATTTTTGGATCACGCAATGCTTGCATGCAAAAATATAATGAGTTTTTGTATATTGATCTTGTATCCCATGGCCTTGTTGCACTTATTATCTCTAATAGCATTTCGTGGATGCCTTAGGATTTTCTATATAGAGGATCCTGGCGTCTGCAAAGAAAGACTGTTTTATTTCTTCTTTTCCTGTCTGAATGTCTTCTTTTGCCTTGTCTTATTGTTGTGGCTAGGACCTCCCATACTATGTTGAATAGAAGAAGTGAGAGTAGATGCTCTTGCATGGCTCCTGATATTAGGGGGGAGAACATTAGTCTTTACCATTTTAATATAATGTTCACTGTAGATCCGTCATAGATGCCCTTTACCAGGCATCCGTGTGGTCTGTAAGAGCTGTGGGCATATCAGGTTCAGCCTGCTCCCTAACTGCATAGCTTCTAGCAACACAGGCAGGCTTGGCAGGAGAATCAGTCTTTCCAATACAGAGGTGAGCAGTGGCAACGCAAGCACCTGTTTGGTACACATCACTTACTGCAGCTACTGACAAGGAGCCAGGTATATTTTCCTTAGGTCCCTTGGTATCCCCTGGAGATGCTTGTTGACACAACCCTCCAGGGGGACCTGGGTTTTAGGTTGGACGTTGCCACTGCTGCGCAGCCAGCCACTCAGCCTCGTCAAGAGCCAGTCTCTCCATGAGGAGCAATAGTCCCTTCTCTGCCTGCCTTCCAAGTTCAAGTGGGACAAGGCGGGTGGAAGAACTCCATAAACCGATGCAAGGGATCATCATCATCTTTCTAGCGGCGGGAAGGGTGTCAGTCGCAAAAAGGAAAAGACCCCAGAGGTTCTGAATGTCTCCCTTAATTTATTGAGAAGCGGCCAGGACAGGGAGCTTTCTAGACCACCCTCCGCCTGCAGAGAGAGGCCTGACTTAGCCATGGGCTGGAGTGGGGAGGGGATGAGCAGAGAGAGAGGAAGGAGTCTGGAAAGCGTTGCTGGAGGCTCAGGCAGTCTCTTCCATGAGCAATGGTTAGAAGTCTCACTCCTTGGCCTTTCTCCCAGGGCTGAGTCTGGCTGCCCCTAAGAGAGGGAGAGGGGTTCGATGGTGCGCCATATCTCAGCCAGAGGCAAGGAAATGCTACAAACTGCAACAGAACCTGAGGAAAGTGGGTGGCCCCTCTATCTCCTGCACAAGGAAGAAATCCTACACTGAATGTATCCAGGCCATTGCAGTAAGTCAGTGCCATGTGCTGGGTAAGACCAAATAGAGTGGAAGGGAAGGGAAGGGGAGGGGAGGGGAGGGGAGGGGAGGGGAGGGGAGGGGAGGGAATAAAATGTTAAAAATGTGCTCTCCCCTCCTCCCTCTGTTTTTCTTCCTGGGCGCTTGCCAGTTGGGGAGAGTCAGATGCAATGTAAGACTGGTCGTTATTTTGAATGCACAAGTTAGCATTCTAGAGTGGGGAGACTGTGGGTAGGGGGAAACTGGGACCCCAACTTCAATTGTTGATAACAACTGTGCAAAAAGGACACAGCAGCAGTTGTACCAGATGAATATGTAACACTGGCAAATGTCAAGGTTACCCTGCAAGGTAAAGCCTCCAGAAGGTCATGACCTCTGAGCCCAGAGGAATGGGCTCAGCCGGTCACAGTCACCACATCCGGCTGTGGAGCCCTGCCCGGGCACTAGACATGGGAAAGACATTTGTCCAAGGCATTTTCAGAGAGAGACAAGAGAATTGTGACTTTTGGATGATTTCAGATTCCTTTTGTTTGTTGGAATATGAGATCTACTGAAATAATTTTTACTGATTCACCCAACAAATACGTCCTCTGTGCCACGGCTGTGTGCACTGGGCTCCAGCACAGAGCAGGTAATCTGTGTAAAAGTTTTCAGTAAGAACTAGGTTAGCAGAGTAGTAATTAGGGGGAAAAGTCTAGTTTGAGCAACGTTTTAGCATATATTTTGTAACTATGGCCAGTGGACAAGTAGTATCAACATTTTTTTGCTGGTTTAAAATGCAGATTTCTGAGCCCTATTCTGACCTATTCAACCCAAATACCTGTGAATGAGGTCACAAAATCTGCCTTTTTCTCCAGCATCTGATTTGAAATCAGTTTTACCTATCACACATCAAAATAAAGTTGGGATAAATGAAATGGTTAATAATAAAACATGTATTATTAAAAAACTAAAGGAGAGATTAATTAGCAGAACTATAGCAGAAAGAGAAATCTCTTAGCTTTTAAGCAATAAACTAAATGATGAAGTAAACTGACAAATTTTAAAATATAAAAATATTAATTCATAGCCAGTAGAAACAATTAAACAAAAATTTAGAAAGCTTCAGAGTGAATATGTGCCAGCTCTGATAAGTGATTACAATTCACATTCTGTGAAGAATGAATTCAAATGGGCAAGAAAATGTAGGATCACACGAGAAAAAATGATATGAATGGAGTATTCATAAGCAGAATTCATAATTAATAGAAGTACTTACAAGATGTTTTCCTTGATAATCAGAGAAAAACAAACCTAAGCAATTTGTTAGCACTTGCATTTTCTTTCTTTCTTTTAAAAAAAGATGTATATAATTTTAGAGAGGGGAAAGGAAGGAGAAAAAGAGGGAGAGAAACATCAATGTGCGAGAGATACATTGGTTGGTTGCTTCTCACACGCCCCAGACGGAAACCAAACCTACAACCGAGGTGTGCGCCCTGACTGGGAACTGAACCCATGACTCCTCACCTTACTGGGTAATGCCAGCCCACTGAGCCACACCAGTCAGGGCAGTACTTGCATTTTCTAAAGTAATAACTTATTAAAGTGGAAGCCTGTTCTGCTGGTGATTCTATGGCAAAATGATCCTCACGGCTGGTGGCGTTCTAAGCGGGCATCACGAATCTTCTGGAGAGCAGGCTGGCAACAGCAGCCAGAGCCGTGGAGATAAACAGGCTCCTCGTCTGGGTGGCTCCACCCTCAGATGCCCATCACATGGCAGCAGGTCATCAGAAAGGGAAAGAAGCGAGCTAAGAGGACGAAGCTAGTCCTGAAAACACAGTTTTAATACCAAAAACGTCGGAAGTAACCCAAGGGCTGAACCTTTAGGGGAATTGTTTAATAAATTATAGAACAACCACATTATAATAAAATAGTACAAAGCCAATAAAATCAATAAGGGCTCTACAGAAAACATACAGTTTTAGCCCTGGCTGGTGTGGCTCAGTGGACTGAGCGCCAGGCTGTGAGGCAAAGGGTCACTTGTTGGATTCCCTGTCAGGGCACAGGCCTGGGTTGTGGGCCAGGTCCTCAGAAGGGGGGATGCGAGAGGCAACCGCACACACTGATGTTCCTCTCCTTCTCTTTCTCCCTCTCTTCCCCTCTCTCTAAATAAATAAATAGATAGATAGATAAATAAAATCTAAAAAAAAAGAGAAAATACACAGTTTTAGGTAAATAAAGCAGTTGATAAAATATTATCTATGCCAAATTGCAAATACAAGAAATACGTGAGCATATGAGAAATAATAAGCCAAAGAGGATAAACATGATTTGTTTTGATGATTGTAAGGTATCTTAATAATTAAATTTCCTATTCAATAAAAAGTAACTTGAATATAGAGCAAAAGCAGGGAAGAATGCGTCTAGAACAAAAACTTGAAATATAAGCCACTCTGAAGGGAGTGTTCATCAGAATTTCACAGGGTGGGAGGGACAAAAGTAAGTTTACAGTTGTTTGTATGGAAAGTAATTCAATAATTAGTAAGTAACAATACAAGAATAAATTCTGTGTTTCATGCACTCACAGCTGTAAACCTACTTTTGCCCCCCTCCCCGCCCCATAGCTGGGTAGGCACGTGAAAAAGAGTGTGCCAACTTCAAGACTTACAGCAGTTGGTCTGGTGCCCGTTGTCCCAAAAGAGGGACCCTTGGATCGTGCCACCTGTCACAGGATGTGAGTGGACGTGGTCAAAAGCTGACTCTTTTGAAGATCCTTCCAGCCACAGAATCTTTAGACTCCCTGAAATCCACTTGCCTGGGTTAGGGAGGGTTTTCTCCTAAAGCCGGCCTGGCCTCTGCTTTCAGGCAAACAGGGCAGATGCTGTGACCCTTGATGGCGGTCTGGTGTATGAGGCAGGACAGGACCCATACAGACTGCGACCTGTGGCAGCAGAGGTCTATGGGACGGAAGAGGGTGAGTTCTCCCTAGGGCCCAGGGCTGGAGCGGCTGTGGCCTTGGCCCTGGGCTCTGTGGACTTAGAGCAGATGAGCTGCAGAGGTGGGGTCTCAGGTGGCATCGCGCGTGAAGGGAACGGAGTCCCTGGGCAGCTTGAGCCAGAGGCCGACCCATGGGCCACCGGCAGACACCATGTGCTCCCCGGGGAATCAGGACAGGCCTAGGTAGCTCTGCCCCCAAAGAACCTGCAGCATGCAGGTCCCCTTGGGTCCAGGCTAAGAGCGCCTCTTTCTCTCTGCCCCTTTGCAGCGCCGCAGACGCACTATTATGCTGTGGCCGTAGTGAAGAAGGGCAGCAACCTTCAACTGAACCAGCTGCAAGGCGTGAAGTCCTGCCACACCGGCCTCAACAGGTCCGCTGGGTGGAATATGCCTATGGGCACCCTTCGTCCGTACCTGGGCTGGGCAGGGCCACCCGCACCCCTTCAGGAAGGTGAGCTGGCTGGGGGATTGCAGCTGACCTCAGGCAGGGGTCTGTCTCTACTCCGGTTCACACACAGCCACTTTGGAAGCCCCAAGGTGGCGGTGAGGTTAGCCTGGCAGGTTCCCTGTACCAGCTGCCCCTGGGAGCTGGCCTCTGAGCTCTCAGGGTCATCATAGAGGCGACACGTCGGGCAGGGGTGGGGGAAGGGGCTGTCCCCAGGGTGGGGGGTCCACCCTGGGAGGCGTGGCTGGCTGTGGCCGGGGCTGCCTCACGCTCGGTCCGTTCTCTGCGTCCCGCAGCTGTGGCCAACTTCTTCTCCGCTAGCTGTGTTCCCTGTGCGGATGGCAAGCAGTACCCCAACCTGTGTCGCCTATGTGTGGGGACAGGGGAAGATAAATGTGCCTGCTCCTCCAAGGAACCGTACTTTGGCTACTCCGGTGCCTTCAAGTGAGTGAGATGGCCCTCTTCTTTCCAGCCACCTGGGTGCCACAGGTCCTCAGGCCAGGAGACCTTCTCTCTGGCCCCCAGTAGAGCTCAGCGTGCTCCTAGAGGCCACAGTGGAGGCCCAGCCCTCCCCTGCTGTGCAGACAGAGCCTGCAGGGGGGTGGGGGTGGGGGTGGGGGGTGTGCCGACTCTGCCGAGCGCACGTTACCCCCACCTCTACACAAGCCCGATGAGTGGTCCCTCGGCAGTGGCCCCCTTGGTCTCCCCAGAGAACCCCGAATCTGGCCCTGGGTTCTGCCTGCTGACTTCTGTCCTCTCGCTGACCACACATATGGGCTGAAGGAGCCTTGTCATAGGCAGCCAGTCCCAGGCTCCCCGCTGGGCAGGGTGGCGGGGTGTCCGGGCTGACGTTGGTCTGCCCTACCTAGGCCTCCTCCCCGAGCTGGTGACAGCAAGCCCTGCCCGAGTGACCACACTGTGCCCTCTCAACCCCCATGCAGAGGCTGACGCTGCCCCCCCCCCCGCCCCCATTTGCCTCCCAGGCCCAGGCAGCTTTGCAGAGGGGGACCTCCCAGGCTCCCTGTCAGCCAGGTTGCATTTGCCTCCTCAGTCCTGGGGGAAGGAACCAAACTCTCTTTTATGTAGAGAGAGAAAGTTTTGTCCTCTCAGCTCTCAAAGCGAATTGTGGGGACCCCTGGTCAGCAGTGGAGCCCTCCTTCTTCAGAGCCTGCCTGGAGCTGGCCGCCACCGCCTTCCCAGCTGGGCTGTCCCAGAGTCTCCGGGCCCTGCCCTGCGAGACGGAGTCGCCCACGGGAGACAAGCCCCTGTTTCCTGGGGAGGCGGCTCCGGGCTGACCCTCCTGTGCCTCCACTTCCCAGGTGTCTGAAGGACGGAGTTGGAGACGTGGCTTTTGTCAAGGACAGTACAGTGTTTGGTAAGAGCAAAGAGAAGCGCTGCGGGACAGCCTCCTTTTATTTTATTTTCTCATAATTCTGAATATTGAGCTGATTAGATTCCTGGTGACACACTATGTCTCCAGGTTCCATACAGGGCACGGCTCTGCTCTTCCCTTCCCCTTGCAGACCTTATGCCAAGGTGTTGGACGTGTGTCCTCGAGATGCACGTGGCCTTGTAAATGTCCCGTGCCGGTTTGGGCCCCCGGGCTCTGAGCTCCTGGGAGCTGCACTGAGCGCCAGGAACCTCGCACCCGAGCATGAGCGGCCGGCCGTGCTGCTGCCTGGGCTTCCCACCCAGCGCTGTGCGTTAGGGATTTCTCTGCCTGGCGTACAAATGCCTCGTTCTGTGGTGCCGACCGTGGCGGGCTGCTCCATGGAACGAGCCCACCCGATTTCCCTTATCCACCACCCTCGGGATGGATGACTGGGTCCTCCTGTCCTTCCCTTCACTGCGGACAGCTCTGTGACTCCGGCTTTCGCCTGAGTCCTCTTACCATGTTGCTGGAGAATGTCCCTGAGGGACCGCACACTGAAGCACAGTAGCTGGGTACGCACAGGGATAGGCCTACTGTATTCTATTTTCATTCTTTCTAGACATGTGGGTAAGGCAGTACCCCTGGCTAATCCCTGGGTTTGTCTCCGCCATGAGATACTTTTCTAGGTAGGGTTGCCATGGAAACAGATGGGGTTTGACTTAACTTCCTTGGCCCACCAGCACCAGGCTAGCCCCTATGATCCTGCCAGAGCATCGCTGGGCTGGACGCCAAGGCTTTCTGGGCACTGTCTTTACTTTTCTGAGTGTTCTAGACTATTCCACTGTCTGTCTTTCTCATGCCCCAGTTTTGTCGATTGGGCAAAACGTCTCCTCGAGCTCACATTCCATGGGGGGAGGGGGTCTCCTGCTCCTGGTTGCTGCCTGGAGTAGGCTTATCTGGGCCCCCAACCCTCTCCTCTCTCCTTTTCCCAGAGAACCTGCCAAATAAGTCTGAGAGAGACCAGTACGAGCTGCTCTGCCCAGATAATACCCGAAAGCCAGTGGATGAGTTCAAGGAGTGCCACCTGGCCCGGGTCCCCTCTCACGCTGTCGTGGCCCGAAGTGTGGGTGGCAAGGAGGACGCGATCTGGAGGCTTCTCAGCAAGGCTCAGGTATCCGCACCCACAGTCCTCCCACCTGCTTGGACTTGGTGCTGGAGCCCCCTTCCTCCCTCCACTTCCTGCCTCTCAGCAGCCCCACTGCACAGCTGTGTCCAAATTCAGCCGAGCGCTTGCCTGGGCAGGCCTCTGACAGCGGAGGCTCCGAAGCCCCTCTGGCATTGCTGACGGCCGTGTCTCCCGCTGGGAGAAGCGAGAGGGGCCGTGCCTGCTCGCAGGGCCCTCGGGCACTCAGACGCCCGCGACGCTTTGAAGGATGAGCTGCCGCTGAGCTACTCACAGAAATGGCCACGTCCCCACGTCCCTCACCCGGGGAAGTGAGCCGAGGTCCCCGCTCTCCGAATGAACCCTACGTTCCAGATACTCTCTTCTGGACGCTGTGGGTTATTTTTTCCTTCTTTACCGCTGACATCATCAATTCTCTGTTTCCTTAATTAGGAGAAGTTTGGGAAAGGCAAGTCGTCGGGATTCCAGCTCTTCAGCTCTCCTCCTGGGCAGAAGGACCTGCTGTTCAAAGATGAGACCCTCAGGTTTTTGAGGATCCCTGCGAAGGTAGACGCTGGGCTGTACCTTGGTTACAAGTACCTCACCATCATCAATAACCTGAAGGAATGTGAGTGAGGGTCAGTGGCGAATGCAGGGGTGGGCCACCGCTGCGCCCCCTGGGGAGGGCGCTTCTCATCCCTTCGGGCGTGGGCAGCATGGCCTGCCCCAGAGTGGTCACCTCCCCATGTCCCAGCCACTGGGCATCTTTGCCATGGTTACATTTGCCGCTGGTGCAAGTGCCTCCTGTGGGCCAAGGAAGGGCATTTTAACATGCAGCAGTGTCTCCAAATGGATGGGTCAGCCACGTCATTAACGCTGCCACATGTCCCTGTGTACATCGGGCTCCCCAGCCCTGACAGAAAAATCAGTTTTCCTCCTGTGGAGTGAGAAACAGGAGCGTGGGCCAAGAGAGCCAGGGCCTTCCTGGGGCGCGGCCAGAGGCCTGGCGGCGCCCTGCCCTGTGCCTGGGCCCTGGTCTCGCCTCAGGGCACCGCCTTGCGCGGCCACGGGCTTCCCGCTGCTGGGGGACTTGGGGCGGAGTCTGGGGCACCCAGGGGCTGCACTGTAGTTGCTGGCAGGGGCTGCCGGCTTCAGCGGAGGTCAGAGCTGGGCTCAGGGTGCCCCAAGCCATCTCTTGGGGGCTGGCGCTGTCTCTGCGTTCTGGAGCTTTTATCCTGTGGGACCGAGATATTAGGCGAGTCATTATACTACCGAGGGAAAGGTGGCTTAGAAGCCAGGAGAAGGATGGGATGGAGAAACAAAGGGGGCGACCCTGGCTAAAGAAGGGGCTGGGCGTTGACAGTGGAGGGAGGGGCGAGAGGGCGCTCAGGGTGGAGCCGGACGCCAGGGAGGTCGGCAGCAGCGCCGGTGACCGGGTCAAGGCGCAGCCCCGCGCTGACAGCTGTGTCCCTGCGCAGCGGTAGCGGAGGTGGAGGCCCGGCGCACGCGGGTCGTGTGGTGCGCGGTGGGCCCGGCGGAGCTGCGCAAGTGCCAGCAGTGGAACACAGAGAGCAATGGCAGAGTGACCTGTGCAACAGCCACCACCACCGAGGACTGCATCACCCTGGTCATGGTAGGGCCTCCCGGCGGGGCGCCTGTGCCGCGTGGGCGGGGCAGCGGGCTCCGTAGGAGACCCCAGGTTGCGGGCATCTGCTCAGAAGGGATGGGGCTCTAAGAGGCGCTTTCGGGGTGGGTTGGGCGGGGTGGGCCCCAGGAAGGGCTCCCCCGGGCCGCGCACCGTGTGCCAACAGGCACAAAGTTCTGTTAAAAGAGTTGTTTCTCATGGGCCTGCCACTGCTTTGATTGTAAGAACAGCTCACAATTATTGCAGGTAATTCGGAAACTAGAAATGCTGGGTGTAAAATAGGTAATACGAACCAGTAGTGACCTCAGACACAAAGACCCCGTAGTGAAGTCCGGGTAGCGTCCCACCCAAGGGTCTCTGGGGGCATTGATGCGTAGGCTGGCCGCAGCTCTGGCTCACACCCCTTCGGCGGGGTTTGAGTCCTTTTCATGTGACAGTGCATCATAGCCACTCCCCCACGAGAATACATGGTCTTTGAAAACACTTGAAAGAATGATTTCAGGGTATCTTTTATGTGAGTGAGGCTTGGCTGTGACCCTATTCCTTTTTGTCCCCTTCATTTGTTATTATCAACAACCCTGTGATGTGCATCCTTGAATACACATCTCCAGTTATTTTTAATATCGTTGTAAAAAAAAATATTAATGGGCCAGAGGGGGAGATTGGGATCTTGATGAATCCCTGTTTCGGTGCTGGAGTGTGGGCTCATTCATCCTGACGGCCAGCCAATCATATCAGACATCTCTGCTTGTTTGTCGACCAACTTTTGCTAGTCCCTAGAGGGTAGTCAGCTGGTTCCATCTGTCCCCTGCGCGCGGGAGGCCTGTTCAGGAGGGGGTCCCCACGCATGCCGACTGCAGGAAGGGTTCTCTTCAGAGGACAGGGGGTTCGTGCGGCCTGAGCCTGGTTTTTTCTAACGGAAGTGAGAGTGTCAAAGGCACGTGGGGCTGGCTTAGGATTAACAGAGGTCATCGTGTGTCCTTTGGGCGCTCAGTTCAAACACTCCCTGCCTCTTTCTGCTCCTTCCCCGGGGCAGCTGACAGCCATGCTCACAGAGAGCTGTCGAGACAGGCGGGACACAGACAGCTCCCGTGACGCCAAGAGTTGCTTTGCCTTTGCAGAAAGGAGAGGCTGATGCCGTGAGTTTGGACGGCGGATTAATCTACGTCGCGGGCAAGTGTGGCTTGGTGCCTGTCCTGGCGGAGAGCAGAAGTAAGTGCGGGGCACGTCCTCCCTGGTTTATTCCTTTTGGGCCAGCAGGTGACGGTATGGAGGGGTCGCCCCCGTGGTGGGTCCAGGTGGAGACAGAAGGGTGGATATACTCAAACAGGAGAGTCAGGGGGAAGAGCAAGCAAACCAAAGGGGCTGTGCTACCCACAGATCCCCTGTGCTGAATTCTGGCACAGCACACGATGTTTTCCTCTTCTTAATTTTGTTTTCTAGTTTAATGTATTTTAATAGCAGCTGACAGGAATGGCACAGAAGGCAGATGATATTAAAAACATGCACTTGCATGTAGGACAACTCAGAAAAGTATCTTAAATGGATGGAATCTACTGTATGATAAAAATGCTACAAACACCATGTAGCTGATGTCAATAAGACATTTACTTTTTTTTTTTTAAGTCTAAATGCTGGCACTGTCCACAGACATTTAACAGATTTATTTATAATTGTTATAGAGTTGGAGCGCTGAAACTTGTTCACCGAAACATTTTGACTTGCATTAATGCTTTATGTCACCGCATTTATATTTAAAAAAGTCATACACAAATGAAAATGGAAAAACTGCCAGTAACTGATTTCTGGCCCCTATTTTCCACTTGCAATATTATACTTAGGTAACTTTAGACCCCATGGGAAAAAAAATCTAACGTTCAGAACTATAAATAACAGGAAGGAGAGAATTTTTTTAAAAGAAGGAAATGTTTCCCATCAGAGTGGATTTTTAAGCATGTCCTGCATGTATGAGACATGCCAGCTGGATGGATGTCTTTTGGCCTAACTGCTGCACATCTGGCGCAGATAGCACACAAATTGGTGTCTTCAGAAAGCCCGGCCACACGGTCCTCGCTTGCCTCCTGCAAAGCCCCAGTAGCTGCGCTCTGGCAGCGCAGACATGTTTTGAAGTCCTGAGTGATTTCTCGCACCTGGTGCTGGAAGGGAAGTTTGTGAATCAGAAGTTCAGTGGACTTCTGAAAGCATCTAATTTCACGGAGTGCCACGGTACGAGGGCTGTAACGATGAGGTGCCTTTGCCGCTCCAGCGGAGGGCGCAGAAGTTTCATCCTTGGTTTATGTGGGCCGTGAGACAAGAAAGGTTGAAAGTCGCTGGTACAGAGACCTCTTTACTTACGCCCCTCTCCTTCAGCAGGAGCTTGGCGGTGCGGCGGTGGCTGCCAACACAATTGTCCCTCCTCTTAATTTTTAAAAAGGTTCTAGTAAAGTAGAATATACATACAGGAAAGGGCTCATAAGTGTCCAACTCAATGACAATTCACACACGGGTGTGTTCCCAGGCACTAGCACTCAGATCAAGACACAGCAGGTTTCCCAAGTCCCTTCACATCCTCACGCCACCAGCCCCCTTACTGCAGCAAGGGCAGCGACTCCTGGCTTCCACGGGCACGGACCGGTTCTTCCCGTTTTTGAACTTCATGTAAAAGGAGATGCACACATGTGCTGTTCTGTGTCTCTTAATGTTATCTTTGTGCTACTGTTCTGGATAGTGCGTACTGGTGCTGTAGAATATTCAGCCTTGTTGTGCCGCACTCTGTTGTGTGACTGTGCTGCTGTTACTTATGCATTCGGCTGTGGACAGGCATCTGAGTCATTTCCAGCTGGTGGCTGCCGTGAATAGTGCTGCTGTGAACATCTGCGCCTGTGTCTTTTGGATGGAGGCACGTCTGCTGCTGGAGCTGCTGGGACGGCGTCTTTGAATGTGATTCTGCATTGCTGAGATGGAAAAGTGTGTGACTTCTCAATAAATCTGAATGTTTAACGACCTTTTGCTTGTTTTTATTCCTTCAGAACCCGAAGAAGGCAGTAGCTTGGATTGTGTGAATAGACCAGCGGAAGGTGAGTTGGAATTGGTCATTTTCAGGGTCAAAGGTAAGTTCTTGTTGCTGGAGGAAGAGGGGGCAAGAACTTTAAAAACCTCACAGGAAGGGATGCAGCCAACATCCTTTTGAAGGTACAGATAATTCATAGGTAATTATAACTGCCGTTTACATCAACCTTCACTGTTGGCCACGTCCTGGCCACGTGGAAGGAGAGGTGCTATGTCCCCACCTCCCATGGATGAGGGAGGAAACAGTGGCTCGAAGCGTCTGCTGAAGTGCCCCGATCTCACTCACAGGCAGAGATGGTGCCGCTGTCACCCCGTGCTCCGATCCGGCCCCGCCTGCAGCTCAGGGCTGGTGCTCGCTCAGCTTTAGAAGCAGCGGGGGGCCGTCAGGGGCACCCTGGCAGGAGGCGGCAGCCACCCCGTTGAGCCTCCCGCAGTGCAGGACTCAGCATGGGGCCATCCTTGGAGACACCCCTGCACCCAGACAGCACTTAGCTTGGTGGCCGCGTGGCTCTGGCCCAATGCACGTTGCCATTGGTGATTCATGCGCTATTGGAGTCACACTAGATATTCAGTGTTTGTTGCTTTGATAGCTCACATCTAAGGGTGCATTTGCTGGTTTATAACTCAGGGACAGTGTGTTACTGGTCAAGGACAGTCCCCAGAAATCACTTAAAGGATCAGCTTTTCTTACTATCTCATTGCCCAGCCTCAATTAATGTCACCTGAACACAGGACAGCGGCGTGAGCCTTTTGGTCTACCTAACAGTGCGTCACCTGGGTCGGGGCGGGGGCAGTGCTGTCATTGCTGATGATGCTTCTTGACCTACTTTGGCCTGAGGTGCCGACAGATGCCCTAGAGTCCATATGCCAGCCACCCCCCCCCCCGCCCCCGCCAAGATTAAGTCTTGCTCTTCTGTCATCCAAGGGTATCGTGCGGTGGCGGTTGTCAGGAAGTCAAATGCTGGCCTCACATGGAATTCCCTGAAGGGCACGAAGTCCTGCCACACCGCAGTGGGCAAGACCGCCGGCTGGAACATCCCCATGGGCCTGCTCTTCAACAAGACAGGCTCCTGCAACTTCGGTGAGGAGTCCTGAGGGAGGAGGGGGGGCTGTCCCGGGGGGTGGGAGCCTCAGGGAAGGGAGGGCTACCCTCCGATCTGAGGCACGGAATGGTGTTCTGCACAGCCGTGCATGCCCCATGCACCCCACTCCGAGGTAAAACGAGGCCTCTCAGTCAGTTGCTCTGTACCCCAAGAGTGGGTACAGGCTCTGAGAAGCACAAATGGTATTTTTTACCTCCTGGTGCTCCATATCTAAATTCCTCCCAGGAACTGGCTTCCTAATTTGGGAAAAGGTGCCTGCCTGCCTCACGTGACTTCTGTCACTGAATAGAGCCGACTTCTTAGTCCGCACCACAGAGGAATCAGAACAAGACCTCAGGCTCCCACCCCAGCCTGCTTGGGGGCCTGCTCTCCGTGCCTCCCCCCGTGCTCACACCCCACACCTAAGCCATGCCCCAGCTGCCGTGGGCTGGGCGACGTGGAGGTGCACGTCACAGCTTGTGACAGTGACTGTTCTCTCTTTGCTGGGCAACGGAATGAGCCTGCTCCAAGCTGCGTCCCCTGCTGGCTAAAGGCTGCGTGTGTTAGCTCCGGGAGGGAGAGCTGACTGCCTGCACCCCTTCTCTCCAGGTGAATTCTTCAGTCAAAGCTGTGCCCCTGGCTCAGACGTGAACTCCAATCTCTGTGCGCTGTGTATTGGCGATGACCAAGGCCAGAACAAGTGCGCCCCCAACAGCAGAGAGAGGTACTACAGCTACACCGGAGCTTTCAGGTGAGTGCGATGGTCAGGCTCCAGCAGGACAGGGCCTTGTGCCCCCTCGGCCAACACCTTGGCACTGCGTTTCCAAGGGGCCAGATGTGGCCTGTCCCAGCCGAGCCAGCGGTTAGCTTGGGGGTGTGCTAAGGGGCCGCACCAAGGAGGGTCCCCCCGCCACGCTCACCACCCCAGAAGGTGGAGGCGGGCCCTGGGGCTGTCTGACCTCCGCTCTGCCTTGCTCCTCCTGGGGGCCTGCAGCCGGAGTCTGCCTCAGTGGGCCTCGGTGTCCTCACCCCCAAATCAAACGGATAGAGCAGCTAGTATTGTGAGTCCTGTCTGCAATTTAGTTTTATGGGGGAAGAATTTTTCTTTTTTCCATTGTCACCATCTTCTCCCCGCTCTGTTATCATGTTCCACACTCCACTATTCTCTTTGATTTTGGCCTTAGGAATGACAAAGAAAACAAGCAGGTTTGCAGTGTTATTCTCCACCGGTGAAGTGAAAAATAACAAAAAATTGGTTTTCAGAATTATTTGCAGTGGTTATGCACAGCCCGCGTTCTGTCCCCCCTTTCGCTGGTACCTTGCTTCGCAGCAGCACTTCCCGGTGTTAGTAGGGGTTGGAAGGAAAGGGTCCCTCCCATCCCTTTTTCTTCTTCCTCCAAGAATATATTTCGCCACCAGATGGCATCATGGACCTGAGAGTGACGCAGGTCGAACTGAGGTCTTTGACATTTTTAATAGGAACTCGGTAGCCGTCTCCCCAGAGATGAGATGATATAAAACTCGCTGTTACCATACTAGACTCTGAGTGACTCAAAAAATATTTTGTGAATGTACAAACCTATCGTTAAGGGACTAAGGATTTGCAAATGGAAAAATTGTGATGTGATTTCACTCAGAAATATTGAATTGACGCATCTCTGATAAAAACCCAAAGGGATCATCCCTGGCTGGTGTGGCTTCGTGGACTGAGTGCCAGGCTGTGAACTAAAGGGTTGCCGGTTCGATTCCCAGCCTGGGGCACGTGCCTGTGTTGCGGGCCAGGCCCCTAGAAGGGTACCTGTGGGAGGCAACCGCACACTGACGTTTCTTTCCCTCTCTTCCTCCTTTCCTTCCCCTCTCTAAAAGTAAAGAAATACAATCTTAAAGAGAAAATAACCTGAAAGAATCATTCAGGCTTCCCCTCCACCCCCAAACCTATGGCGAGGTATTATTTCACAGAAAACACCTGGGCGTCCGTATTCCTCGTTATACTAAGGGAAAATGCTTCACCTTTTGTTCAAATTGAAAGCGGCAACCAGAAGTCCTGTTTCCCTCTCTCTATATTTCTAACATCCTTATAGGGCAGGTTTTTAATTTTTAACTCTCAGCTGTTTTCTGATGACCTCCCCTCAGGGAAAAGAAGGTCTCGCCTCTCCTGTGCTTGTGCCTCTTCCATCCGCAGCCCTGATCTTCATTCCCTTGTAGCTCCCAGCGAGGGTATGCCATCTTCAGTGCTCACCTTCTTATGAATATGTAAATATTATTCTCATATTAAATGTATGTTCTGATAAGATACCTCCTTTATTGTACAAAGTGCCTGTACGCTCTGTACAAAGTTAACAGATGCCCCACGGTGAAATTGCCCCACCAGTCAGTTGTCCAGCGGTGAGACCCATTCTTGCCAAGACGTGGCATCCGACGCAGACCCAACAGCTCCGGTGCTCCTCTCGTAAATATGGACAAACCGCCAGAGAGCACTGGCTCCTTGGGGAGATATCAGAAGACACGGAGACCAGAGCGATGGCACGGAGAGGACACAGGGACCATACACGAGAGAGAATAAAACTTTTTTATTTATGCTGCAATTAATATCATTAAAGAGGTGAAAAGGGCGCAGCACTCATGAAACAAGAACAGGAAGATCCAAAAAGGAACAGTCAGACCACGAAGAGAGTTTTTAGGAAGTAAAAAATAATCACAAAGATTCTTTAAAATGATGTCACGATTAGGCTATTTAACTGAGCAGATTGCTCAGACACGGAAAGGTAAAGAAGGGCAAATCATACAAAAATGTAAGTAGCTAGAACATTATGTGATGATCCAGGAGAGCCTGTCATTTAAGAATTAAAGTTTAAAGAGAAATCGGAAAAATCCCGTATGGAGATGATTAAAGAGATGATGCGGTAAGGGCTGTGAGTGAAGCCCCAGGCTGCGGGTTTCCGCTCCCTTCCTTGGTTTCAGGGCAGGGTCGCTGCTGCCTGCAGTGCTCGGGTCTCTAGTCCGTAGTGCTGTTCAGGTTCAGTCTCCCTGGGGACAAACCCCTGGTCTCCTGCCGGGGGCGGGGGCTGCGTGGGATAGGAGGGCGCCTCAATGGCACCTGTGCAGGCTCAGCGCAGCGCCCCCGCCCCCCGTCCTCATTTCCCGTGGTCTTTCTAGTCGCTGAGCCTGGCTGGAGGTCTGCAGCGCTACAGCTTTTCGTTGCTCTGCTGGGCCAGTCACACTCGCCCCTTCGCCCTCTGACTTCCAGACGCTGCCGTTATTATTTTCTCTTTCTCTCCTGGTGCTGCTCGCTCTCATGAACTTAAAAAAAAACCCTCGTAAGTGTCACTTTATTGGGACTTTAGAAGGAGGGAGGCTACATGGATGTGTTCTATCTTCTATTGTAAACCCAAAGTTCCTGGAAATATTTATGTTTATCTATGGAAACCACATTGGCTTCCGTGTTCCAGATTTTGGGACGTATAGTACAAACATTTACGAAAACTCTAAAATAGTTTCTCTGCCCTGGACATGCGTTGACTTTCTGGAACATTTTAGGTGCCTGGCCGAGAATGCTGGAGACGTGGCGTTTGTGAAACCTGCCACTGTCTTGGCGAACACGGATGGTAAGTGAGGATGCTGCCTCTCCCCCTTCAGCATGGAGTCTTTGGTGTCATAGCACCTCCTCAGTATTCATGTTTGCAGCTGGGAAGATAGTATATGGGTTCCCAGACCCTTAAGTTAATTCTGAAATGTTTTACTTTGGTGTGCAACATGGTAATGTCTGTAGGTGTCACGCTGATCCTAAAAGAATCCTCCCTCTCCCTCCCCCGCCCCCCTCCCCCCCTGCCAACACACACCCCAGCAATACTCCAAAGCAAATGTCTCCCCGCTTGGTCCAGATAATCACATAAAGACACATCTTCCTATCCCAGCCTGTGGGAGACTGAATGGGGATGATACTGCAAAAAAACCCCAAAACCTATGCAAACAAAATTTCCCTCTTAAAAAGGAAGTAGGGAACCTTCGTTCAGCCCCGTGGGAGTCCCCAGTGGGGAAACTCCTTGGGAGTAAATGGGGACAAAAACCACAGGCAGAGGGAGATGGTGAAAGATAAACGACCAGCCAATGACGACTAATCCCTTTCTCAGGATCTCTAGATGAAAATTGCAAGGACCCAATTCAAGACTCCCAACTGCATGCCTCTCCTCAGTGCGGCTCAGCCTGCCCGTCCCTCCCCCTCAGCCGGGCCTGGCCATCCCCCCTGAGAAAGACCTGCCCCTTTCTGCCTCCCTCCTTCAAAGACATCAGCAGTCCCAGCTGCTCCTTCCTCCTCGCGTCTTTTGGGCGAGGGATCAAGGCCAGACATGTAAATTTGGAATGACCTCAATGTCACATGGACAAAGCCAAGAGAAGCGTGGGGTGCTTTTTTGAGGGGAGACAGCGGGAGAGAAGCAGAGACCTGAACAATGAATCTGCATTTGCACACAGACAGGCACACAATCCCATTGAGAATTTATGAGCCATTCATCTAAGTGATCTCCAGGGATCAGAGGTCAACTTTAATTGTAAACTTCTGTAGGATTTTACAACTGTACTTGATTGGAAATGACTAAATATATTTGAGAAACCCAGAGACCGTCCTTCCATTCTCTGGCTACACTAAGAGTGCTTGAATGTGAAAGGAAAGAGGAAACAATTTCTTCCTGAACGTAAACCAGCTGTTCCTTTTCTGGAACTCCCTGAAAAAATATGGCACAGGTGGAGCATTTTCTTTTTAAAAGCTAGACTATTTAACAGCTTTATTGGGACACAGTTCACGTACGATAAATCCACCCAGAGTGTTCAGTTCAGTGGCCTTCAGCGCAACCCCCGCCCCCGTCCAATCCTAGAATGCTCGCGTACCCGCATAAAGAAACCCCATATCCAGACAAACCCTCCGCCCAGCCACCACTAGTAGTGTTGGCTTCAGTCTGGAACCCTACTCTCCGTGGCCTCTGTGACTGGCTTCCTGCACTGAGCACCATGTTTTCAGGGTTCATTCGTACAGCAGCCTGTGTCGGTACTTCACTTCGTTTTATGGCTGAATCCTCGTTCATTGTGTGGCTACGGCGTTAATGTTTAATGTGTTTGAAGCTTGTATAGCTTGCGCAGGACAGTGATTTCTTCTCCCTCCTTCACATCCCCGTGTCCCCAGGGTGTGCATTTCAAGAGGCCAGTGGATGGTGACACCCAGAATGACCTTTGGGCTGATGCCACCTTCTTCTCTCCCCAGGAAGGGGCACTGAAACGTGGGCTAAGAATCTGAAGCTGCAGGACTTTGAGCTGTTGTGCCTGGATGGCACCCGGAAGCCCGTGACTGAGGCGGACACCTGCTACCTGGCCAGGGCCCCGAGTCACGGTGTGGTGTCTCGGAAAGATAAGGTGCAGTACCTGGAGCAGGTGCTGCTGGACCAACAGGTATGGACCACAGGGCCTCCTGCCCTTTCTGACCTGCGTGCGCTTCTGTCAGGTGGGGCAGCCGCAGAGCCGGGCAACCAGCCCGTCCCGAGACATTCTTTCCAGTCCCTGTGCTTGAAGTTGGAGGTGACGGCATTTGCGTCCTACTGTAGGGCTGCCCAGAGACGCAGTGAGGACAGCAGAGGCTTCTGTCCTGGGATTTCTGGGACTGGCCTGACCTCTCAGGCCCCTGAACTTGTGCTCACTGCCCTGCTCAGACCCGGTTACTCTCTTTGTCCCTTCTTTTGTTCTTTGAGCAAATGAGGGCGACCCCTGAGCCTTTCTCCCGTAACTAGGTAGAGCAGCTTTTTTAGCGCCCCCGGGTCTGGGCCGACTGAGCAGCGTTCTAGGCAAGGCTGCCGTGTTTGTCATCTCTAAAGACACCAAACCCAGAACTTCTGTAGTGTCACGGCTGCCTGTAACCGTAACACTACAGGGAGAAGTGGTGTGGAGGAAATCCTACCCTGTCCTTCAAGCCTGTGATTCTCTATCAAAACTTCTTGTTTTGTATTAAAATATCATGTCTCTGGGTGTGCTCTACCCAGGCTTAGGGGCCCTGGAATGGTACCGCTAGGCACGCTAAGTGGCGTTTGTGGAGCCCTCACAGCGGCGCCCACACTGGGGCTGGTGACGGGTCTGCTGCCACGGAGGTGCCTGGCGTCCCCGCTGAGCCTGCGGGAGCTCTGGGCATGGAGGAGGGGCTGTGGCCGAGGGGGTTCAGTGACCTGCCCAAGGGCCCTGATCGGTGGCAGAGAGGATTTCCAACACAGACCGCCTCTCCGGGAGAACCGGCCGGTTAGAAAGCCGCGGGTGATCCACTTTTGGGGCAGGTCTCAACAATCCTCAACTGTCACTTAGTCACCCCTAACGAGTTCTAAGGAAAGAGGCCATGGGTTGAGGAGGAAGGAGAGATGGCAGGAGGCGAGATGAGAGGTTGAGGGCCTGGGGGCTGCGCAGGGTGGGTCTGTGCCTGGGCCCCAGGCAGCAGGAGGACATGGGACAGGGGACACTTGGCCACGGCAGTGGGGCGGCTCTGGAGCTCAGCTCCTTTCAGCCCGTGTTTGTCCCAGGGTTGATCCTGGGGGTGGAGGGAGGGGGATGTCCTCGGCCACCCTGATCCACGCACGGCCTGCTTCCCTTGGTCCTCACTTGCTGTTGGCCCCTTTGATACAGAGCAAGTTTGGAAGAAATGGCAGCGACTGTCCAGGCAGGTTTTGCTTGTTTCAGTCTGAAACCAAAAACCTTCTGTTCAACGACAACACCGAGTGTCTGGCCAAACTCCAGGGCAAAACGACATATGAAAAATATCTGGGATCGGACTATGTCTCGGTGGTTGCGAATCTGCAGCAATGCTCCACCTCGCGTAAGTGGGCCGTAGGCAGCCTCTCTGAGAAGCCACCCCGCACAAGTCAGGGTTGGAGGGCCGGGCGGCATTCGAGGAATGAAGACGGGTATTGAAATGTTAAGGCAATATATTACCTCTACACCTCAGGAAAGGACAGTCTCATTGTTGAGGTGAAAGAATTAGAGAATAAAATAAAGCAGTAGATAATATGCTAAATTTTACAATTCTGATAGTGACTGTTACAGAGTTTTTAGAAACCAGCCAATGATGGTTTCTAAACCAATCATTTTATTCAGTAAAATAAAATGTGTGTGTATATATGTATACATTTATATACATGCATATACACACACGTGCATACCTATAGACACATACGTATTAAGAAATGACAAATTCTGATTTCTGGACAGTTTCCATAAATACCAAAACTAAAGAGAATACAAATGCTCAAAAAGCATTTTAGCTAGAAAAAATATACTGGCAGTAATTCAATCCTTTGAAAACATTTGGAAGACTGCGGGAGCGTTGTAAGCTTTAGGTGATGAGGCCGAGACTCCAACATGCATGGCCTCCCCTGTCCCCGCCCCCCAGGAGCTCCCCAGAGTCAGAGACATCAGAGGGAGGGGGCAGTGGTCCAGGGAAGGGTGAGGCCAAGAATCTATCAGTGGCTCTCCACTCAGGCAGCTTTGCCCTCTGGGGGACACATGGCCATGCCCGGAGGTATTTTTGATTCTCAGGGGCGCCAAAGGAAGCACAGACCCGCTCTCACAGCAAAGATTTGGCGGGTCACACGTGAGCTGCCGAGGCAGGGAAGCCCGCCTTCCATCAGCCGCGGTCTCGGGAGCTGCTCTGCAGGGGTTTCTAGGACCGCCCTGGTTGAAGCCCAGCTGTAGGCCGTTCTTGCCAGCAGCAGCTCACAGTGGCACAGGCTGGGCACCCCAGAGGCAGGGCCTGTCTGTCCCAGATGAACCTGGGCACTTAGCGCAGTGACTCATTTGCGAATGAATGGGCGAGGGATCCTGTGGACACTGTTGCAAACAGATGTCCATAAAGGTGACATGTCAATTGCTCACATTTCAGAAGCCAAGGACCATCAGTGTCCGTTGGAGATGAGATGGCGGTGGGGGGGTGGTAGTGGTGGGGAGTGGGTGGTTGTCACCCAGGCCAGAGCAGGGAGTCAGCCCCCTTGGGTGGAATGAGCATTGACCGGCGGGAGTGGGGCAAGCACGGAGGAGGTCCCTGGTTTAGTATCACCCTTGACGGATGTATTGATGAGAGGAGAGACCCATTTCTGTCTTCTGCTTCCGTGTGTCCACAGCGCTTCTGGAAGCCTGCGCCTTCCTGAGGAAGTGAAGCCGAGAAGCTGCCCCAGCACCACCCGCTCCCCCCTGCCCAGAGCCTCAGCCCTCGCTGCCCCAGCCCCTTCCCCAGGCCCGCTGGGGCCTGCCTCTCCCTTCCCGAGGGGCAGCTTGCCAGTCTCACTGTCTTCACAATTCCCTGCTCTCCTCTCAACAAGAAATAAAATCAGAAATATCGGTGATTTTCATTTCTTATTCAGCATCACTCACCTTTTCTAGAATTTCATACTGAAATCTTGTGTCTGACCAATTCCTGCACAGGTGGGCCTTTCCTGCCAAGCTTTTCAGCTCCCAATGGCCCTCTTATGTGCCATTTTGGAGGTGATGCCAGGTGGTCTGGAATCTAAGGACAGGCCAGAAACTATTCACCCCACGGACGTGTGGTTGGACATTGGCAAAGCTGTCTCCGTGTGTGTGCATGTGTGCACTGTGGGAGCATGTGGCAACGTGTGCACATGCATGTGCGTGCGTGCACTGTGGGAGCATGTGCACGTGAGTGTGTGTCTAGGACGGGGAAGGGAATAGGGAACAGAAATCAAGAGACCAGTGAAAGAAGTTGTGTCAAGAAGACTGGTGAGCATTTGGTCCTTTAAGTGAACAGCAGCTGGTGTAGTAAATGTACAAGTACAGGCATCACAGGAGAATGTGGAACATGTCTATCCCCTGGCCTTGCTGCCCCCATCCTCTGCCTCACCTCTAGTCACTCGTTTCCCCCTCCTTTTCTCAGCCAACCTATTCGAACATGACCTAAGCCGCCACCGTCGCTTTCAGCAGGTGGGGTGGGTGGTTGGGTTGCTCTTGCATTCTCCCTGCCCCCCGTCCCCCCCCAATTTGATTCTAACTGTTCTCTCTCCTTCGTGGACCCGGACACACTCCTTCTTGAAACCCTGTTCCCTCAGCTTCCATGCCTCCTGCTCTCTCATTTCCTTTCTCTGCCTTTTGGGGGTTCTTTAAGTGTGTCCCCCATGGTTTTATTCTTCAGAATGTTTCCAATCCCTGTCTCGATGCCACAGCGAGGAATTAGGGAAGAACCAAGCAGCTGGGTTTCAGCTGCATGTGCACGGACTCCCCTCACAGAGGGGTGGGGTCCGGTGCCGAGCAGGGTCCTGCTCTCCCGGGTCAGTCCCTGGGCAGTAGCCCTCAGGTACTCGCCCAGGGCAGTGTTCGTGGCCAGGGAGGCCTACGGAGAGAGGAGAGCCGCCCAGGAAGGAAGGGGTGGTAAAGATCAACGGCGGGGTGCAGCTGGGATATGCGGTGGCGGGGGACGTCCAGCGGAGTGAGGCCTGTGAATCCATGCAGTTCTGGGAAAGACCCCGAGCCTTGCGCAGTGCAGGAGGTGGGTGCCGGGGGGGGGGTTATCATTTGAATTTTAAAAGTTTCACCCTGGCAAGTTGGAGGGCACCCAGACTCTTGGGGAAGGCAGGGGTAGATAAAAGCATGTTCTTTCAGCTTCAGCTCTCCCGAGGCAACGCTCAAAGCTCTCTAGTCTCTGGAAGGAGCCAACGTGTGGACGTGGTCTCAGCCAGAGAGACGGCCTCTGCAAGGCTGCGGAGATTCTGTGTGTCTCCCAACTTAGTATGGGGCTGGGGGCACGAAACCCCAAACCCCACCCACAGGAAGTCCCTCAGACAGCCACCATCAAGACTTCCTGCAAAGGTTGGAAATGGGTTCGTGGAGCCCCGCAGGCCTGAGTACCCCTTCCTCGGTCCACCCTGTGGCCAGGCCGTGCGGTTCCAACCCGCGACCCGCCACCAGACCTCTGGTCCCGCCTTCTTTCCTTCTCACGCTGAATCCAGTGTGGGCTCGGCTCTCCCGCCCTCAAACCCCAAGTTCTGTCCCTTCCCGTCTGCAAGGAGAGCTCACGCCTTGCACTCCACTCAGTCCCGTCTCGAGTCTCCTTCTCCCCTCCCCAGCAGGGCCATAAGGATGTCACATATTATTCTACATATGTTACTGTGGACTCTGCCTTCCTCCCTGAAATTCCCTCTGCCCCGAGCCTGGTCTCCGGGGAAGAGCCTGCCTCTCTCCCTTTGTCCATTTGTCCTGGAGGAGAATGACCTCCAGCAGATTCAGGAATGTCATCTGACCTTCTTGTTGTCCGACCGTTGCCCTCAGAAACCCGAAATGAGATGCTTTCTTGGCCTAGGGTTCTGCCCTACGCGCCTTGTTTGAACTGTTGAATTTTCTAGAGCTTGGTTGTGCTACTTGAACTGTAAAGTACAAAAACAAACAAAAACAACCCCCTTTCCCCCGCAAAAGTCTTCATGTTCTGTTTCCTCCTCACTAAGTTGGGAGAGAGCCTCAGGGGGTCATACCCCAATATTTCAAATTATTAAACTTAAGATATATCTTCTTCTCCACCCTCCACCACCAGAGAAAGGGAGAAAAGGAAGACAAAGCAAAGAGAATGTGACCTACACGGGGAGAACACTCTTGTCCCAGAAGGCTCGGCTCCGGGGGCACAGGAATCAGCAGAAGCAGACGCACTGCACAGGCCGGGGCCAGAGAGACGCGGGCAGGGCGTCTTCCCCACCGCGGCCCTTCTCGCCGCGGTCTGCCTCTGGGTGTGCCAACTCGGCCCTGCTTTCCAGAGCTAAGGTGAAAGCTAGAGATGGCAGAGGGGCGTGCCCTCCTCTCCGAACCTGACCTTGTCAAAGGAAGTAACACCTTCCTCATCTTCCCTGAAGCGGAATTTGCCTTCTACGCATGTCAAGAGTCTTTGGCCAAACCGAACTGCCGAGAATCCCACAGGAAAAGACTGGCACCCGTGTGCCCACGCGGGATGGGGCAGTGTGGGGGCACAGGGGGATACATTAGAAGAAGCGGCTGCCAAGCCTTTCACGGCGCCTGGTCCGGGAGCCGTCAGAGGATGGCCTTGCCAGCCCATTAGGGCCTTTGGGCAAAGACCGAGGAAGGTGGCCCTGTCCTGGGGTTCGCCTCTTCCAGGGACGGCGCCCTGGTGAGCAGCCCCTGTGTGCGCCCTCCTCTGGATGCAGCAGGAGGGCTTGACCTGCGCAGCTGCTCTGGCCGCCACAGAAGCAGAACACTGACCGGGGAGGGATGGTGGGGGGCCCCGACCCCTCCCTTCCCCTCCCAGCGACGTCCGCACTACTTCACAGTTTGGCCTGCCGTGATGCTACTTCCCCCGACAGAGAACCATAGGGTGGCTTCCAAGGTTGGGGTCCCTGTGGGGGTATCATTCAGGTTTCATCTCCGATGCCTGACCTTGTTGGACCATCAGTGACTCTCCCTGGCCCAGCAGTGACCCCATTCCCCCTACTCCAGGCCACATCTTTAGGACTGTTTCGGGTACATGTCCTTATCATTTTTATATCTGACTAGTGGGGACTCTAAGTGGAACAGCGGGTGTAATTTCTAGATTTCTAGAAATCTGAAATCTTGTATGTGTGTGTAGGGTTGAGAAAACGAGTTAATGTGTCGATGTTTTGGGGACCTAGAGTGGCTGTGAAAGAGGGAAGGAAGATGAAACAGGTAGTTGGGCAGAACCTGCGGGGTGAGTCAGAACAGGAAGTATGACTGCAGACGCATAATTTGGCTACAATTTTTTTTTTTTTGGTAATACAGGTCTACTAATGAGAAGAATGAAATTCTTTTTGGGGAGAATAAAATTCTGCTTAATTAGGGTTCAAAATTAGTATTCTTTATTGTTAAAATTGATTGCAAATGTTCATCAGTTAATAAAGGAACATCAGTTAAAATGTTCATCACCGCTGATCTGTGGTGAAATTTTACATATTGTTAGTGCATTCTGGAAAATGTCTTTTCTTCTAGGGTGCTGCCAAATACTGCTATCAATCTGCAAGCATACGACTTTATGTGGATATTTATCTCTTGGAAGAAATGTATTGAACAGTGTTAGAATCTTCTCTCGGTGTCTGCCTGTGAGCGTGGCATGTCATTAGATTGTCCACTGCTTCCAACTGAAGGTTAGATGGATGTTCTTCCATTGCACAGATTGACTTTGAAATATGGGAGTCTCTTTTGTTCTTGCACTGCGGTCTGAAAAACACGTGGGCCAGTAGTTTGAGCCCAGAAAGTATATCTAATACAAATTTGTACAAAAATGGAGACCTTATTTATCTTAACTTTTATTATTTGGGAAATGTGGCTTGACACCTCGTGTGATTCAAATGTTAGCTGTAGGGTCACTTTACTGCGGGATGTGTTTCATTTTTAAGTGTGATTCTACTTTCTAGGTTGAATTTATTGAGAAACATGATCAATTTTGCAGAGCCGTCCAGTGTTTGAAAGGTAGATAAGGGTAGCCCTTGTTCAAAAAAAAAAAAAAATTCAATCCTGGCTGTGGCCTCAAAATATCACAGTAAAATGGCTTACCGCTGCTCAGCCTTCAAACTGCTGTATGGTAGGATGAATCAGGATATTAAAGTTTTATTTCTGAAAAAAAATTCACAGAACAGAGGATGGTTAAGTTTGTAAGAGCAAAAGAAGTTTATGTTGATACTACCGGTTTAATCCACATCCTGTATTAAAATGTCTTCCACAAAGTACCATTAATGAATAATCCCAGACTTTAAACACCTTCTGTTTTCAAAAAGCTTTGTAAATTTGTCCAACTAAACTTTTTTTGTGTGTGTGTGTAACACATTTTAACCATCATCAGTTGTAATACATCTTAGCAGATTTCACTTCAGATTGTTCTGAATTAGTATTTTCTCAATTTTCTTTGAAAATATTTTGCCTGTAGTTATTCCATGCAAACTGTTAATGGAGGCTAATTCTTCACTCACTTCAAACTCACCGCTGACTCCTCAAATAAACAACAATGGACGACATCTGTAGCATCTGTCAATCTATCAAAAGCCAAGGAAAAACCACTGAAAAGCACTTGCTTCGTTTTTAAAAAATTTACTGTTGGTATTGTTTTCAATGTCTTCAACTCTTCTATCAACTGTCATCAATGAAAAGCCAACTGACTTAAATGAGCTTGCCGTATTTTGTTGTGTATAATGCACTCCCGTGTATAATATGTGCCTGCATTTTTGGCCCAAGCTTTCAGGGAAAAAAATCTTTCATTTAAAATTTTTAATTCAATTATTTATTTATATACTTGTTTTTTGTATTATAAAGGAATTTTATAACTTTTTGTATTATAAGAGAATTTTAAAGGAGTTACACTTTTAATGCATAAGCATAAATAAAATAATTAAAAACATTTCTATAGGTACAGAACTAGTACTACCCATGTAAAATGCACACCCTTATTTTTCCCTCAAAAATTTGGGCACAAAAGTGCGCATTATACATGGTAAAATATGGGTGTTTTCTCTGGACACTTTTTTTTTAATTGCTTCAATCAAACATAATTCAATTAACTCAACATAATTAAATGGCTTTTCCTGCTTGGCTAACCAATGAGCCATTCAGAAACTTACATTGCTTGCAGCCTGGTGCTGTGCAAAATGAGTTAGTTGCAGAAGTACTTACGTTATGAGAATGAGCTATTTATATAACCTTTAAAACTGTGAAAAACAACGCTATGTTTTGCCTGTGGGTACCTGTGGTAAAAACAAAATAATGTGGTGGAGAGGGAGGAAGCAGATCCAAGAGGCCCTGGGTAGGTGCTTCTGCTCAGAGATACAGCAAGTGGGTCCCTCCTAAAGTAGCTCCTGGGCGAGGCCTTGGCCCTGGTCAGGGAGGGGCCAGCCCTCACCATCCCCAGGCATTGGGTGGGATCTAAGGTTGAGAGTGCTCTCCCCTGGAGGTGCGTTGCTATCTTTGCCAGCAGAAAATAAACAGGGTCTGTTGGTCTTTACTGATGGGATTAGAGAAGAACAAAGTTGCCTGCATACCAGGTGCCAGGGTTGAAAGGCCGAGTTGCCCCAGCATTGAAACTACATCTGAAACTGCCCTGCAAAATGGAGTCCCCACCTGGTTAAGCTTACAGCGGTCCCCTGGCGTTCTCCAAGGTCCCCCTGGACTCTGCAGGGACCCCATCAGCCATTCGAACGGCGATGCCCTTCTTCGCATTCCAGGTGCTGCTGGAATCTCTCTGCACGTGCAGTGTTGTTTCTGGTTAGTGTGTCAGGTCGTGGCCGTTCCATTGGCTTCCACCTGCCCTTGCCTCTCATGACTGCGCTCGCTCCGCGGGTCAGGGGATCGCTGTGGGGATTCTGTCTGCGGCTCAGTGTGTCTATTCTGGAACCGGGGGAATTAGCCAGTAGATGGGTTCAGGGGCCCTCTGGGTCCTCGGTGAGACAGACCTGGCTAACCCGCCACTGCCCCCCACCTCCAGCCCACCACGAGGGCAGGGCCTTCCCCCAGCTGTCTGAGGCTCAGGGAGGAGGCCAGCTAGCTCGTGTAGGCTCTCACAGGAAGAGACAGACACCCCTTCCCTGAGCAGCGGCCTCTGGGGAAGTGACCCATCCCCCAGCTCACAGCGAAAGGCCAACATCAGGGCAACATCAAGGGCTTTAGAGTTTGAAATTCGGATCAAAGATTTTCTTCTGTTTGACGTGTCAGAGCTCGCTCTTTGGGGGAGTTTGTTTTTCTCAGTGTCTATAAATGGACTGCAGAGGGGAGCAGCGATCACAGGCCTGTCCTCCCCCAGTCCTGTGGATGGCTGTAAAGAACCCGGGAGCAGTGATATACAGGAACCCGCCGTGCCCGGCAGCCGTGCGGGGAAGTACTGGGTGCAGTCAATGGGCAGGCGAGGAAAGAGCGCTGATGTCCAAGAGGGGCACGCCGGGATTATGACGTGGCGGCCCAGAGGTTTAACCTCAGTTTCTACCTTTCTAAAAATGAGGCTGATGAGACCCAGTTTTCCCCGTCAGACTGTTATGTGGTGCAGATACGAGGTCTGTGAAGGCACTTTGTAAAGGATAAAGGCCTATTGAAGTCCAGGCTTGGCGTGGGAGCCTTCGACCAGGAAAGGGCGAGCAGTTCCTAGGCCGGGCGATGCCCCGGGCTCAGGGGCTACATCACACTTGAAAAAAAGGGAAAAGACAAGACTATTTACTGGGTAACGGAATTCAAATTTAACTGAGCATCTTGTCTTTTTTTTCAACTTCAAATGTTACTGCTTTTTCATTCACTATATTAATTGTGTTTCCTGTTTTCAAATGTTTCATTTGTGCCCACAAACAAGTAGAATTGAGGTGAGTAGAAAATTGTTTATGAGATTTCAAAATTGTTCTCTCAAATGTCCCAAATCAGAATACCTTGACTTAGCAGGAAAATTTTTGCATTAGGAAATAATGTATAGTCAAAGCAGAAACACTGTCAGTTTTTCTTGAATACAGTAGCCCTTCCCTTTGCACAGTTGTTAGTTTTCTATTGCAATCATTTGCAGAGAAGCATGTGTTATTTTTAGCCTTAGGTTAACCATCTTCTTATTCTGACACGGGAGGAAGACCTCACTGAATTATTAACGTCCTCACTGCTTTTGCCTGTGGGCCGTTGGAGTTGGATTGCCCAGCACAAAGCTTTGATGCTCAGTAACCATTTCACCCTCAGTCACTGTAAGAGTTCGTAGATCCTTGTTCTCTGTACATTCAATGTTTTCATTGTGAAAATTACAATAGGATCTGTCCTTTGAGCTCATCGCTGCTTCTGTAAACCTCTGCAAACAATGTTATTTCCTCTGAGATTCTGTCCCGCCCCTGGGAGGAGAAGTGGAGGGAGAGTCCAGACCCACATGTATAAATTGGTGAAAAAACCTCTGTCCCTTTTCCTTCTCTTCTTGAACAACAAAACCCCCTTTGCCTATCTGCTGGGACGCTTTCTCCCCTGGTCTCCTTTGTGACATGCCATGGTGTTTGTATATGCTATTTAATGGCATCCTGGAGGGGTCTTGTCTTAGTCTGCTTGGGCTGCCATACAGAATATCACGGACTGAGTGGCATAAACCACAGAATTTATTCCTCACAGTACTGGAGGCTGCGGGTCCGAGATTGGGGTGGGGGGCAGTGGGGTCGGGTTCTGGGCAGCGTGCCCCTCCGGGCTTGCAGGCGGCTGCCTCCTCACAGGGCGGGCAGAGGGGATGAGGGAGCTCTCCGGTGTCTCTTCCCAGGAGGCAAAAATCCCATGGTGAGGGCCCCCCCTCATGACCTCATCTAACCCCAATGACCTCCCAAAGTCCTTAGGCCCCAGTCGCATCCCACGGTGGCGCTAGGGCTTCAACATATAAATTGCGGGGTGGGTGGGCGCCGTTCATCCATAGCCCCCATCAAGACGTAAAGGAGCGAGCACTTGCTATCGATTGTGTTCCTGTGGGGTCTCCCCAGGGCTCACCTCCTCTGCCTCCCTCCCCAGTGAAGGAGGGGAGATGCTGTGGTCCACGGACATGCTGTGTGTCCTCTGTCATCTCTGCTTGGGACATGCAGCAGAAACACAGGCCCTGGATTCCCCGGGCTAACGCTTGTTGTGATGTTTTATAGTTACAGGCTGGTGAAGCCTGAGGTATGTATTATGCTAAAAAGCACAAAACATGTATCGCATTAACTATTTCTTAACCTAATTGTACACTAACTATTGTTAAATGGTAGAAAGAAGTACTAGAAACATGGGAGGCGCACAGGCTGGGGACAGGCCGTGGGCCTGGGGGGTGCCGGGAGCACGTTGCTCCGCCTGGCTTTATCTGCAGCCCCCAGCCGCCCAGTTCTTTCTGCAAGAAAATGTGCCTAAACGGTTGTTTCTGTGTGAATGGGTTTCTTCTCATTTGAAATGCGGTCCAATGGGTTTTAGAAGTACATATTCGTTTCATGGGTTCTCTTGCCCAGTATTTGGAAGCCGGGCACGCTGGACACAGCACAGGCTCTGGAGCAAAAGTCACCGGGGCTGGTGTCCCAGCCCAGCCACTCTGTGTCATCTTAGGCAGGTTTCTGAGCCTCTGTTTCCTCCCCAGAGAAATGAGACCAATTCCACCCACACCACGGACGAGAAGTGAGGCGTGGAGGAGCTCACGCAGTAAAGAGCCCAGCACAGCACCTGAGACAAACAATGTTTGATACGTGTCTGCCTCCCCTCCCCCCTTTCTTCCTGTCGCAACTCCAAATACACAGGTGTAGAACAATTACACAAAATAATGCAGCGAGCCCAGCAGCAACGTTTATTGATCCTGCTGTGCGGAGGCTGGTTTACATATGCGTGGAGTGTTCGCGCTCTTCCCACGGTGTATCGTGCGCAGGGCCTACGGGAGGTCGAGGCGGAGTGTCACCGCACCGGCGGCAAAGGCGGCACAGGTGCTTCCGAAATTCCTCGTCCAGAAGCACATAGAGGAGTGGGTTGACGCAGCAGTGGATGCTGGCGATGACTCTCGTCACCTGAACGCTTCTGTCCACGTTGTAGCTGCTCCTGCAGTCACTCAGGGAGAAGGATTTCTTGAAAGTAGACAGGAAAAGTGTAATATTGTAGGGTCCCCACATCAGAAGGAAAACAACCATTATGGCGGAAACAAGCTTGACAAGGTCACACTTCCTGTCCCTGGACCTCTGTGTTTTTCTCATTCGCATGAAGAGCGCAAAGCAAACTATCAAAACCAACAGTGGGAGGAGAAGTACCACAAGGTTCGCCTTTAAGGTCAGGGAAAGCTCCCAGGAAGAGCCCTCACCGGGCAGGAAATGAGGCCTGCTCAAGAAGCACCTGTATTGCTGGGTTCCCGCGTGAGAGCTGTGAAACAGGAGTTCAGGCAGAGTGACCAGAACGCCCGTCCCCCACGCCAGGACACTCACAATGATGCCACAGGACACCTTCTTGGCAGCAGATGCAAACTTTCTCCCGTGGAAAAGCACCAGGTAGCTCTGCAGAGTCAGAAGGGCATTGAAAAATGCTTCGCCGTGTAGGCCCACGGAGGACATTGTCACGAGAATTGTACACATGGGATGGCCCAGAATCCCGCCGTGGGAGGCAGCGTGAGCCCAGAACGGTAAGGTAAGCAAGAAACACAAATTAGAAACTCCCAAGTTTAGGAGATAGATATTTTCCACGTACTGGAGCCTTTTGTATTTCACCAGGATAAGCACAGCCAAGGAGTTGTCCAGGAGACCAACCAGGAACACGGTGGTGTAGAGCTGAGGCACCAGCTGGGCCAGGAGGACGTTGGCGTCATACTGGGGACATTGTTCTGTGTCACTGTTATTCAGGTCGCCCTCGATGAGGACGTCATAATCATCTCCGTCTGGTGCCAATGTGTAATTAGCCATCTTCAGGCTGCCCTGCAGGGATATAAAAAAAACTTATTATTTACTCCTCACCCAGGATGTATTTACTGATTTTAAAGAGAGATGTAGGGAGAGGGGTTGAAAGAGACATTTATATGAGAGAGAAACACTGACCGGTTTCCTTCGGCACGTGACCTGACCAGGGATCGAACTCGCAACTGTTCAGTGCACAGGATGATGCTCTTTCCAACTGAGCCACCCAGCCAGGGCAGAGTGAGAAATTATTTTCCTGCATATAGCTGCATGGTCCTGGAGGGAACAACGAAGAGATGAGCGCCCATGCAGCCATGCTTTCCCTCCTCCTGGGCTTTGCTTTTAACCTGAGGAGGTCTACGGTTCAAAAGCGTGAAAATAAACATCTCTTCAACACGCCCCTCCCTCCCGAGTGTGGTTGCTCTACTGCATCCAGTCATCACGCACCAGATGCTCAGGAGTGAGCTAACACCACAGGCAAGCGTCAGTAAGCAGGGCACTTCTTCAAAGAATGGCACTCTCGGTAGGAACAAGCCTTGTCCGCTTGGAGATATGTAAGCAACACACCGCAAAAGAGAACCTACAACCCGTTTCACAAAATTGGTGTCAGTTCTAATTTCTACATGTTTAAAGAGTTGGCTCACCCTGAGACAGCTTCCTGTGACAGGCTGAGAGGTCTGAGTTCTTCTCTCGAAAGGGTATGAACAAATGTTTGCAAAAGCGAAACAACCCTAAGGTCCCACGGACGCCGACTGCGGGTTAAGGACAGAGATCACTTACCACTTGACCGAGCTGCTGCGGGAAGGGCCAGGGACGGTGGAAAGACGGGCTTCCTTCCGAGCCGACAGTCCTGACCCTTAGGGGCAAGAGAAACCACTGTTTGTCCCCCCTCTTGCCCAGCAGTGAGAGGTCTCAGGGATGAACTGAAATGAAGCCGCTTGAAAGCTCCCCCAGACCCCCAGAGTGTTTCTGAAGCATCTCAGGGCAACCAGGAAGTTGTTTTCTCCTCCGCCTGCCCCTGTACCCCGCCTCTGATTTCCCAGAGCCTTTACTGTGTCCTTCTGGCTGCCCCAGATAAGGGAACTAAGTTATGCTGCTCCTTGCTGATACGGAGAGAGGATAGGGAGGCGCTTCTGACGTGGATCACTGAGCAGGGGCAGCCAGCAGCAGAGGACAGTGTCACCGTAATGCCTGCAGACCCCAGGGGCCTGACGGTCACCTGCAGCCTTTCATCAACATTGGCAGGAGCCCCTCCCTGAATCCATATGGGCTTCTGGAACTTGTAGGGAGAACCCCAGTGACTGGCATGTGCTTGGGCTTTTAATCATTTTTCAGAGACACGTGTGCTTAGGCTGAGGGACGGGGTGTTGAGAGAGGATTTCATGGCAATGGCAGCCACAGAGTGATGTCCTCTGCAGGGGGCAGGGGAGGTGCAGAAATGGGGCCCCGCTGCAGGGGCTGCTGGGAGCATGTACAGGGGACACAAAGGAGTTAGGCGATCTGGTTGGAGCTGACTGTGCTCCCAGAGGGAGAAGCCAGTGCAGGGAGATCCCGTGGTCAGGACACGGGGGCGTCATCAGGTCGGGGCTGCAGAGCCTGCAAGGGGAACCAAGCTGAGCCCCAGACAAGGCTGGGGGTGGGGCGAGGTTGGCAGCCAGAGAGAGGAGACTGAGATGGGAGTCCGGATCTGGAGCGGTGGGAGAGTAGGGGTGTCGGGGGAGAAAGGGGAAGGAACGGGGACGGTTCAGAGAAAAAATGAACTGAGAAGAGGAACTTGAGAGAGCTGAAAAATGTGTATAAACTCCCATATCAAGTCTTCGTACCTGTGGCTGGCTTCAGGTGGGGACCAGTCCAGCGGATTGGTTTAGCATTCACGTTGCTGGTTAAACGACATCCTGTTAATGCCAAAGAGGTGTTCGAAGTAGCGTTTGATACAGAACGTGGACCTGTTAAAACAGAACTGGAAATAAGGGAACTATTAAGAGAAAGGAAAAATAAACATAGGAAGGGCCCAGACAAACATAGGATTGAGCATCACATTTAACTCAAAGGGAAACAAACGCATGGCCTTACTCTGCACCCAGGGGCTGGTCCTGGTGGGAACCGGGGCGGGGACCGGTTCCCAGCAAGTGCTCCCCCTCCCCCCAGGATGGGCTTCTGTGAGTGAGTGAGGGTCACTGTGGCCTGGGACGCTCTGTCCACTGGTAGCAGCTTCGGCCCTAGGACCAGCAGGGACTGCTCTTTCCTCCTGGGGCTCCGCCTCCTGCAGCCCGGCTACCTGGAGCCACGCCAGCCCCCAGCCATGCTCCCTCCGCCCCTGAACCGGGAGTGAGTCGGTGCCCGCGGAGGCTCTTGATGCTCTGTCACCTCATGCCTGCTGGCCAGTCCCGGACAAGAGGGTGAGAGTCACGTCCAAAGCGGAGACTTGAAAAACCCCATGAATATCCACCCTGTACATGGTGCAGTTAAGTGGAGGGAAGTGCCAGGCAGAAATCAAGAGGAATTTAAGTTTCTGAAAGAAAAACACTGTTTTCTAAATTCAGGATCGCCCTAACTTCCGGATATTAGCATGGCTTTCGCTTTCAGTATTACTTCATTTTGGCTGGATCCCTAGAATCCTGCTTGTCCGCATGCTGGCTGCGAGACTGTTTTTTGTTTTTTGTTTGTTTTTTACATTGATGTATAACTGACCTTTAACACCGTGTCAGTTTAACCTATGATCTGATGCATTTACGCAGTGATAGGACGGCCATTGTAATGCTAACACCTCTGTCGTTTCACAGCATTATTTGTTCTCAGGGTGGGAACAGTAAACATCTATCCCTTAGCAAGTTTTGCGTTTATAATACTGTCTTGTTGTTTGTAACTATTGTACTTTGTATGAACCTCCAAGGCCATGGGTTCCTGGAAACTTCTAAAGTGGTAGGAATGACCGAGAGGTCTGAAGTTGAGGCAGGAAGAAAGTCTTATTTAGCATTTGAGCATCCAGAGCCACCAAAGGGTTGTTGCCATCCCTGAAATGTCACCACATTTCTTGGCTTTGGCCTGTGGCTCACAGACCTTATCTCTGAGCATCTCAGTTCCTTCTGGTCACCGTAGTTCAATTCCAGTTTCAGTCCCAGATGCTATTGTGTCACACGTAGATCGCATTTCCTGGTACACGCAGATCCCCACGTATTGGGTTCATTTATTGAACAAGTATTTACAGAGTGCCTACTGTGTGCCCAGCACTGTTCCAGGTACCAAACAATATAGGCAGACATCCAGGCCTTCTGTGGCTTACATTACACAGACAAAAGCAAAATAAGCCAGCACATCGTCGGGTAGTAGGAGGGGAGCCCTCTGGAGACAAAGCAGGGAAGGAAACCAGGGAGGGCCAGGGCGGTCCGGGGCTCACGCTGCCCACCAACAGGCAGAGATGCTGCCGACGAGGAGCGCTGAGGCAGCCCAGGAGCGGGTCCCCCGACCAAGGCTCATTTTCTCATTCTTTTCTTGTGATGAAGCTCTCAAATCAGGGAGGTTGGTTTCTGATAATCCTATTTTGCTCCCTAGGTAAGGAGCTTGATTCCTGATAAAACTTTTAATCAAACCGTGAGTTAATCAAATCTTTCAGGATTTCATTGTGCTTTGTGAAGCCTGCCAGTGGCCTCATGGAGATCCATTTCCTTGTGTGTGTGTGTAGCCTCTACGCCAGTTCCTCTTTACTGGGGATTATTTTCTCTACCGCAGCTTCCTGTGGCCTGACGGGGGCGCACTCCCTTTCTGAGGAGTTTTGCCTTTGTTTCAGCCAGAAGCACGAGGGGCAGCCACGGCCTGAGATGAGTTTTCTATTCTCCTTTTGGGATCTCCCCTTTTGAGGGTGTTGCAATGGAAGCTCCTACTTGTGTGAGGCACAGATTTTGATTCCCAGAGATTTTCCCCTCTGCTGCTTTGAGTCTAGGCAGAACCAACAGCTTCCTTATCGTCCTCCACCTGTGGTGAATTTCTTCCAGGCCACCTTCTCCCTTGAGGCAGCTTTCCGCCGGGACTGCTCAGTTCCAGCTCCCCCTCATATGGCCCGAGGCCTCGTTGTCTGCCCCAGGCTGGAGTCACCCTTAGTGGCCTTGAGTGGCTTTATTATGTGTGTGGCCTTTGATTTGTCTATATCAGACAGTGGCCAACATGATAAATATCCATCAAGTAGTGTCTAGTAAATACTTGTTGAAAAGTGTCATTTATGTCCTCATTTCACGGATATTTGGTGCCTACCTTCCTGTAAACCTGCCTTTTCCCTCCTGTACCCACTCTCCTCTCTACCCTGCTTTATGTCCAGGGAGACTTATTCATAGCAGACCCTGCCCCCACCCCCTCCACTCCCGTGTCTGATTTTCAGCAGAGTTGGACCAATGGGGAATTTTAGGAAGGACATTGGAAAGTGAGGTCAAGGGATTTAGCTCCCTGGCTCCTTCCCTGGGGGTGGCAGGGGCGGGGGGAGGTCCCACGGGTCTCCGTTTTGGTGGGGCTGACGTGCCCCTTGACCTAGGGGCAGCTCTCGTGAGTTCGCACCCTCCCACAGCCCCTGGCGGCGGAACGGCGGCCCACTTTCACCAGCACTAAGTGTGGCTCGGCTCTGTGTGCTGAGGTTCCCATACGCTGTCTAAACCCTCGTGAGAACCCTCTTGCCAAAATGTCCCCGGTTGCCTTGCTTGAGTGTGCCGCACGTTTCCTAGCCCGACTGCAGGGCACACGCCCAAGGGCTGGCAACTTTGCCCTGGGAGAACACGGTGAACCAAGTGGCCCCGTTCTCTGCCCTCATGACATTGACATTCTAGAGCAGCGGTCCCCAACCTTTTTGGCACCAGGGACCAGTTTCACGGAAGACAGTTTTTCCATGGACGAGGCCGGGGCGGGCGGGGCGCGTGGAGGGAGTCCGGAGGCGGAGCTCCCGCAGCGCTGCCAGCGAAGCTTCGCTCCACCGCCCTGACCTCCCGCTGTGTGGCCCGGTGCCTAACAGACCAAGGACTGGCACTGGTACATCGCCCGGGGGTTGGGGACCCCTGTTCGAGAGGGAGACGGTCAGGTAAGTAACTGCTTTTAATTCAGGGGGTCACGTGCTATGCCGGCGAAGCATGTGGGAGCTAAGGGGCACTCAGCGAGGGCACCTGGCCCAGCCCAGAGGGCCCAGGGAAGGTTCCCCAGGGCAGACGTCATCTGGGCAGAAAGCCTGATGGGACTTAGCCAGGTGAGGGGTGCCTCGGCCCTGCTCCTCCCTGTCCCTCCCACTGTCTCCTTTCTGAGGCTCTGGAGGGGCCATTGATTGTGTGTCAGAGACGGGATGAGGGCAGGGAAAGTAACACAGTTCAAGGTGGAGGCGTTGCGTTGCTGCCGGGCACCTGTGACTGAGTGCAGGTGGAAGAGAGAGTGGGAACCAGGTGGCAGACCACTTCAGATCGCAACCCTGGGAGTGCCGAGGTCCCAGGCAGGGAGTTCTCGGGGTTGCTTTGGAGGGGGCTCCCAGGAGACGGCCTGGAAGGGGCCCAGCCGAGGCGGGACCCCACAGGGGGAGAGGCGGCTGCACAGGAGGCCTCAGCTGGTCCTGCAAGGCGCTCTGGAGCTGGGCTGGCCCTGCGCTGCTGTCCTGCCCTGAGGTGAGGGGGCCAGGCCTCGGCATCCAACACCAGCCAGTCACTGGCCTCAGCCGTCCCCTGGGAGAAGGCACGGTCCACGGTCGGCAGGCAGGTCCCAGTGGCTGAGGGCAGTTCCCTGGGAGGGGGGCAGCCTCCCCGTCCCAGCAGCTGGGAGGGCGGGAGTGTTGACCCTGAAGGGGAGATCCGAGCAGAGCCCACAGTGCCCGCCGCACACCCTGAGGGCCCTGGGTTTCCTGCAAGTGTCATTAACCCTAACGACAAGAAATGGAAACTGAAATGTACAAAACCACTATGTCGTAAGACCGTGAGTTCATTGTGTGGTTGTGCAAGAGCAGTCATGTGCACGGTGCCCGCCCATTCCATGTGGGTGCCGGTCCCTCGGACACCCACCCGGGGTCATCGGGACGTGAAGAGGCGCTGAAGGAGGAGTGAACGGCGCCCCCCCGCCATGCCCGCCCCCCGGTCCCCGTCCCCTTGCCCCCCCTTCTCGTCACCCTCTAGGTTTTCCCTTTTCCTCTTTCTTCCTCATCAAACTGGTTACAAGTCAGGTTTTGTAGGGTGGGGTGGATTGGACAGTCAACTCGTTCTATATTAACCCTGTTTTAAAGAGATAAGAAATCTTAGGAAGAGAGGTAAAAGGTAATACACTAAATAGCATCCTCTCTTTAGAAATATTCCCTTTAACAAAATGAAATCATGACGGATTTTAACCTTGCGAGAGAGGGCTGGGCCCTGATCTTCAGCCTGGGCAGCTGCTCCGGGCCCTCTGAGGGCCAAGGCGCAGGTGAGCCCATGCACCGGCGCCTGAAGGCGGTGCTCCCTCCCTGCCTAGCGGTGCCCCAGGGAGAGCGCCCGAGGCCCCTCAAGGTTCTTCAGCCATTCCCATGGACTCCGAGGGCTTGATCTGAGCTGGCTGCTCTCTGCATCCCAGAGGCTGAGGTACCCATCTCTTTCCCCTCTCAAAGGATTCAGCCACACCCACTGGAAGGGGTCCTTGCAAAGGGCCTCTTCCTCTCCCAGCAAACCAGGACCCTCACCGCAAAGACTGGTCCTGTCCTCTCTGGAGAGGCCAGAACGTGGGGACAAAATGCTTTTCTAGGAGGAAGTAGGGCACTGTGCTCCTTTGCCATGAGCCAGTGCAGGCAGGGACAAGCAGGAGCTGTGAGGTCGTCTTGTTCTTCTTTTTTTAAAAATTATTTTTATTGTTCAAATACATTTGTCTCCATTTTCCCACCACCACTTTCCCCTCTCCCCTCTCCTCTCCCTCCCTTATTCCTTCCTCACTTTGGCTTTGTCTGTGGGTCCTTATACATGTTCCTT